ATCGCAGATGCGCCGGGGACCCACTGGGACAGATCGCCGAACGTTGTCAGTTGCAACCGGCGACTACGTCCCAGGTAGGTCGGCGGGATATGAGAACCAGGCTTAAGAGAAGCCGTCGCTTAGCTCAGTTACGGAGAGAAGAATAGGAAGGAGTAAGGAGTGGTTTTTAAATTCATCCCATTCCTCTCTCGGCATTACACGCAGCCGAAGCCGAAGACATATTATTATTTTGCTTCGAAGGCGACTTATTACAAGATGATCGCACCAAGCTAAGTAAAAAGCAGAAGAATCGTGAAAACCACGAGCACACGTTCACATTGGTAAGTAAAATACAACGTGTTAAATTTTCCGTGTTTTCTAAAAGCTACTTCGATCTTCAGCGCCAGAAAGAGCATTATTGATGACGTTGCGAAAATCGCTTTTTCTAGCTTGGCGTGATCAAACGCATGGCTATTCATGCTGTATAATTTTTTCATTTTCACATCATTTACACAGTGTTGATTGCATGTTCTATATCGTTGTACTTTACTGGGATACTGACTTTGGTTGGAAGCTGCTGGAATAACAGTTTATTCCTAAATCGATCGCGGTTTGCGGCGGTAACTTTGAGGGCATTTTGGATATGAACGCTTAGGCCCAGTTCAGACGCCGAACTTTTCATGAGCCGAACTTAACTCGATTTTTGACTGACCCGTTGATTCAGACGTCGAACTTAATTCGCCGAACTTTATTTAGTTTAAACTAAATCACATCGAAATGTCGGCGATTTTCAGGCAAAGTGAAAACTGCTTGGCAAAAACATTACATTAATTTATGCATTAGGTTCGGCTCATGAAAAGTTCGACGTCTGAATCAAAGCCGTTCCAAAGCCGAAATTCCCGGCTGAGCTAGGCGGGAAGAACGGCTGTGCCATTCCAAATTCAAATAACCGTTCTTAACTGATTCAGGCCCGGTCCAAACGCCGCTCCACTCATGTGCCGAACCAAACTTGATGAAGTTCGACTTTAGAGCGACTTTGGAGCGACGGCTGGTTCAGACGGCGTACTTGCGTCGACCTTAATTCGGGAAGTCGGTGGTAACAATTTTCGACGAGAAAATATGCGTTCTGAATTCAAGAACTCTGTC